CCCCTTTTTCTCCCTCTATTTCCCTCCTTTCTCCTCCTCCTCCCTCTCCCTCTTCGACCCGACCCGCGCAAGTCCCTTTTTCCCCCGTATCGATCGTCGAATCTGGGCCCTCTCGGGACACCTCCCCCCCCCGCTCCGACGACACCCTCCCACGTGATCCCTCATCCCGTGCAAACCCTCCCCCTCCCCGTCCTCAGGTCGGCCTCTCCCCCTCCTTTTTCCCCGCCAGGCGAGCGCGGCGTGACTCTCTCGGCGGGACAGAAGCAACGGGTGGCCATCGCTCGGGCGCTGATCAAAAACCCCAAAATCCTGATCCTGGACGAGGCCACCAGCGCTCTGGATGCCGAGTCGGAGCACGTGGTCCAGGAGGCCTTGAACCGGGCCGCGGCCGGACGCACCGTGCTAGTCATCGCTCACCGGCTTAGCACCGTCAAGGACGCCTCGGTCATCGTCGTGTTGTCCAAGGGCCGCGTGGCCGAGGTGAGTGTGCCGAAAGAAACGACTCCGCCCGAAATGGTCTTTTCAAAGCTCTATTAGCGGCCGTTCCAAGTCACCATGGCACTGGCGGGGTGGGTGGGGGGAAAGAGCCTTTCCCACACTTACGACCACCGGAACATCCCGGTTACAGGATCCAAATCCGGCCGCTTGACAGCGGATTCCTATTGCCGACGTTCCCTGTTCCCCGTTCCCCAACCTCCTTCGGTGATCTTCCTAACCAGCTGAATTCACCTCACGACCGGGGGTACCACGCTAACCGTTTCAGGGGATTGGCTTCCGGATGCTAACGCGAAAAGTCGTCAAAAAAGGGGGCGAACCTCACCTTCGCGAGTGACTCGTGAGCGTTTTTCACAGCCGGACGCCGTTAAGGGCGTCCCTGTGGTCACCCGGATACACCTCACCTGATCCTTATGGAAGCGTAGAATCGAAGAGTTGGAGGACACCTCAGTGGTCCTCTACTCCAACCCCCCTCCTCGGGCAGGGGAAGCGGTTGGTGGAGCCTTCTCGGGCTCCGACGGAAAACCAGGACGACATCCTACTTTCTTCGTTCTTTTTTCTTGCTGGCGAGACGTTTTTTTCTTCCCAAAGGAAACCACACTCCAGTGGGGTGGTCCAAAGGGGTCCGGGGACAGCCGTGGGGAGGCAGGGAGCGCACGAGCGAGAGAGACAGTGCCTCTGTGGAAGCAACGGGCTCGCGTAAGAAGTTGCCGCTCTGTTGGCACCGCCAGGCGCGCACTTCCGCAGCCTGCTTTTCAAATGGACCACGGTTTGCTATATCCACCTACCACCCGTCCTCAAGCAGCTGTGTCGAGTGTCCAATCAGCCTTCTATCCACCCACCACCCGTCCTCGAACGGCTGTCGAGCGTCCAATCGGACTGCTATCCACCTACCACCCGTCCTTGAACGGCTGTGTCAAGCGTCTAATTGGACTGCTATCCACATACACCCATCCTCGAATGGCTGTGTCGACCGTCCAATCGGACTGCTATCCACCTTCCGCCCATCCTCAAGCGGCTATGTCGAGCGTCCAATCGGACTGCTATCCACCCACCACCCGTCCTCAAGCGGCCGTGTCGAGCGTCCAATGGGCCTGCTCTCCACCCACCACCCGTCCTCGAACGGCTGTGTCGAGCGTACAAACGGCACTTCCTGTTGCTTAGGGCAGCCCGCTTTCCTTGACGGGCCGTGGCCTGGTGTCTGTCTACCACCCCGGGTCTAACGGCGGGTTAGAGCGCGCAAACGGTGCTTGCCGTTGCTTAGGCAAGCCCGCTTTCGAGCCCCAAATGAGATCATTTGGGCAGGGAGTGACTCCGGTTTCGAGCCCCAAATGAGATCATTTTGGTAGGGAGTGACCCCAGTTTCGAGCCAAACGAGATCATTTTTACAGGGACTGACCCCGGTTTCGAGCCCGAAATGAGATCCTTTTGGTATGGAGTGACCCATCAAAATACGATCCTTACTCCTCGCCTTAACGCCACTTCCCGTTTAGTATAAATACGTCTTGCTCGTTCGGTGGCGGGAGGCTCCCATCCATTCTGGGCTTGCGACTCCAGAAAATGTTTTTTTTCCCCAAAAAATCCGGCGTTCTCCCCCACAAAACCCACCATAATATTTGTCTTTTTTTGTTCGTTTTCTCCTCCAGGCCGGGACCCACGCAGAACTCTTACGCAAAGGCGGCATCTATGCAGAGCTTTTCCACCGGCAAGCCAAGGACCTCTGAAGGAGGAACCCACGCCGGTGGGTTTTGCCGGATTCGGAGCCCGTTTCCCCGTTATTTTTCTCTTTTTCCTCGCTGCCCTCTTCGGCTCCGTCTCCAGCCTCACCCCAAGATGGTCGCTCAGGAAAGGCCCAGAGCCCGTTGCTCTGGGATGCCATGTTGTCGGTTTTTCAGGGACCGCGGCTTTTCCTCTTTTTTCCCCACAGGGGAAGGAAAGCCACGTGCAATTTGGACACTTGAATTTTATTTTTTTATTTTTTTTCAAATACAGCCTTTTTGGGGGGCTTGGACCGACGTTGTGTTGCCTTTGCTTTTGTGCGTGTGTGTATGTGTGTGTGTGAGAGAGAAAGACAAAAAGGTTGCTTTTAAAAGAACACGGACTAACGTCGACCTATCGGGCAGCAAAGGGCAGACATTTTGCGGCTGGACGTCAGATCTTGACTTCGAAGGGATTTCAAACTCCCCCTATGTGGGGATGGTCCCCGATTGACGACATGGGTGGTATAGCAACCGTTCGAAGTCGCAACAGCAACGGGGGAGGGGGAGGGGGAAAAAAGAAGGAGGGGACGCTTCGGACCGTTGACTGTTGCGGCGTCCTCGCCATCGCGTGACGCAACGGGACTCCTCTTGGGGTCGTGCGATGGGTTGGATAGATGATGGATGGGGAAATCGATCGAGGATATCCTTGGCGGGGAGTCGTACGATCCCCTTTTCCCGACCTTTGGACAAACCAAGACCCGTCTCGTCTTTTTCCAACGTCTCGACATCGTTTTTGGTGGGGTTTTTTGGGGTGACGTTTGACGTCGGGGCGGCCTTCCAAAATACCACCAACCAGGTCTCTTTCCTCGAGTTTCCAGGAGAGCGAAAACGGCCTCCGTAAGGTCGGAAACAAACCCGTTTCCAGCCTTCCGGATCTTCCGAAGTCCGTTTTTTTTTGCCTTCCCCGAACGTCCGTGTCGGCTTCGTACTTAGCCTGGCATACAAACCAGGTTATGTGGGGATTCCTGGGTGCAACGCGGCTGGCTATACCTGTTGGCCGAATCGGTCGTGAAAAAATGATAAATTTAGATCCCGGTTCGCTCGAACCAGGCCGAACCGCTAGCAACTCTCATCCCCGGCTGTATTACCAGATGTCAAGCCGGCGGGAAACCCTGGCTAAAGACCGGCTTGTCACAAAACGGTTGTGGAAAGTTCTAGAGAGAGCAAGCTTTGCGTCGAGAAGGCCACGCACAACCCTTGCGGGACCCCTAAGCTATAGTAAATCCATCAGCGCACATACTCCCAATCATCTAACTTGCCGCAAATGAGACAATTTGGCCGGGAGTGATCCATAGAAATACGATCCTCGCTTCAAACTAGGTGTTAAGCCCCCCCTCAGCTGGGAGTCTTATGGATTTGCCATCCTTTCCCCCCCAAAAAGCTAGTCCTTGCCTTAAGACCGGTTCCCGTTTAGTGACCATTCAAAGTTACAACGGCCCGAGTGGGGAAAAACAAAACAAAGTAACTCGCGATCATAGTTTTACCACGCGTAGTTTCGGACGCATTGCATGTTTCTGACAGGCGTTATGTCCCGGGGGAGTGGCTGTCTTCTGACGGTATTCCACTTCTGTGACCAATCGACCAACGGGGACGCCTTCCTTGTTGCCTTTCCCTCCCCGAGGAGACGCAGGACTGGAGCTGCGTGGAGCCGCGCTGGCGGTAGCAACTCCCGACTCAGGGGGCCTCCGAGGGGAGGGGAAGGAGAAGAGGGGGAGGGGAAACGGCGGGGGGACGATCCCCCCCCCAAAAAATCAGAATTCCGATTTTAATTGGAAGAATATCACGTCCGGCGAAAAACAGGGCCCCTCGGAACGTTCCAGAAGGCCGGAAACAGGTAAAAGCCGGCGGAGTCCAGGTGCCCCCCCCCCATTTTTTTCTTTCGCCCTTCCCAACCTCCAGAAACAAGGCGGGAAAGGAAGACGATAGAGCCGCCACGACGAACCTACGGCATGAGTGCTCCAGGTGGAAACGCTAAGCCATTTTGCCAGCATGTGGCTGCCGGAAAATTTACCTTCATGGTGCATCCACACGCCGCGCGGCGGATATTTCGGCCAGTTGGAGGCCTTTTTTCGGCCTCCCAGAGGCTTCAGGAAGGCTTCCGCAGGCCGAAAACAAGGCCCGTTTCGTCTCTTTTTCTCGTTTTTCTCTCCGAAAATACCGGAAGTGGACAAAACAGGCCTACTTTTCGGCCTACAGAAGCCTGCGGAAGCCTTTCTCAAGTCTCTGGCAGGTCGAAAAAGGCCTCAAACCGGCCGAAAATTTGCAAGCACGCACGCCATTTTTGGGCACAGGAGCCCCAAAAGGTTATCCCACGCTGTTGTGACGGCGGGCCTGAGGGAAGTCGTACATTAGAACTCGGCCACCCGCGACGAGGTTGAGTTTCGACCCCCGCCCCCTTCCTTGCCGTCTTTCCCCACGTCCCTCAGGGTGCCGACGTCTTGACCTACCCCATCGGCGTGGGAGGGACGTCCCGCTTCGGAACCGCAGACTGGGTCTCTCCATATCGAACCAATGGGCCGCGGCACCCTTTTTCTTGTCTTACCGGTTCAAGTTTCTCCTGGTTCGAAGCGCCAACGAACGATCTGCTCACTGCCAAACCCGATTTCGCGCCAACGATCCTGTGGGTTCCGCTCACCCGCTCGGCTTACTCACCGCGCCTCGGCGGGGTTTACTCTCCTGGAAGTGAACGACGGCCGGCCATTTGCGAGTGCTGTGTTTCACGTGGTTAGCGAATCGGTTGTTCAACCTGCCCATCGGTCCGCCCCTCGCTCCACCCAAATGATTTGTCTCCCTCAAGAAATCGACCACCATGTCGGGGCCCGGCTTCCGGGGCCCAAAGTGCCACGAGGGACCTGCCTGGCCATTTCCCTTGCACGCTTTACTCTTCCACCCTCCCGCTCCCCCTTCCCGGGAAATTGTGGGTGCTCCCAACGGTGAGTAAATTGGGGTGCTCCGCAGAGAAATATCCCCCCCCCCC